AAAGCCTTTTTGGCAAACCTCTGCTTCTAATACAGATCTCATTTTGTATTACAGCTTTTAAACTCCATATAAGCATCAACTGAAAATTACAGATTTTTGCCTTTAAAAACATCACACGTTATGGTTCTCTTGGTGTAATTTTTCTGTTCCTGTTCCCCCAGCCCAGTCTTTGAGGTGGAAAGGAAACTGGAGTAACTGTATACTGGCAAATAATTCAATGTACTTGCCTAAGGACTATTTTGGCACCAGCCGGGTTCAGTAAAGCACTGCTGTCTCAAACATTTGCTCTGCAGACTAGCTTCTGCTAGAAAACAATTAAAGCAAGCACTAGTGTGTCTGTGGCTTTATTTACTCAGGGATATTTTACTCCGCCATTAATTGAGAATACTTCTAATCAGAAGCTGGGTGAAAAGTGACTGGTAATGTTTCTTGGGACAAGGTGACCCAGAACGAGGACAGAGCATCCTTGATCATGAGGCACAGGGGACACCCAGTTTCATGGTTCACCTTGACTGCTATCAACAAATTGATTTATTTATATAAGGTATTTCTATATTATTTGATTAGACTAGTTCTCTGGACGTTATACTTTAAGATATCAAACAGCAATCAATTTAATCAAATCTACAGCTCTATCAAGCTGCCTTGTAAACAAATCAAAAATCTTTTAACAGCAACTTATGAATGTGCATACACACAAACCTCCCTCATTCCAAATTCACAAACATTTTAAAAATAGTTGCAAAACTATTCTGGGGAGAATCTTGGTGATGTCATACGAACTGGCCAGTGTGTACCCAGGTCAGCTGCCATTTTGCCAACACAAGGAAACTCACAGAACTTGAGCTCATATTCTGAAGCTTTCTGCCAGATATGAACATGTACATGTTTCCAGAGCAAGAATGATGCTTTCAACCCATATCAAGTTCAGCTCATCAACCTGTAAGGTACTTAGGCTGGTTGTTACGTTTCACAATGCTGCACAAAATTGTAATACTACAGCACTAGAACTGTATCTGCTATCCTGTATTTATCTAGAAAGAAATCCATACTACACAAAATCATCATACTACAGATATCTCATTTTCCTTGGTCAGATGGTATTGACAAGCAACTGCAGAGATCGAAGTTTAAAAAATGAAAAAGGCATTGTTAAACTTTCCCTTGGGTCTGTTGGATTAAGAAATAGAATGTGCATGGGAAAAAATCTGATTTCATGTAGATACAAGGCAACAATTGTAATCCTACATTTGTCCAAACATGTACTGGGGGCAGAGCAAGGCATTATACTATCCTAAGAAAATCTTTCTAGGAAAGTAGCTTTCTGAAAGGCTCCTTCAGTGTTTTGTGTTCAACAGATCATTCCTAATATTGGAAAAGAACTGCATAAACATGTTTTGTGTTCCATGTAAAAGACAATTACCAAATTTTGTATGACCCACAAATCATAACCCCTCCCCGCCCGGGTTATTTTGAACTTTAACAGCCAGAGGGCTCTGCTTTTGTCTTGGGTTTTAGAACCAAAATAGCTAACAGCCCAGGTCCCTGAAATGAGGAATGCTAAAATAATCTTCATAGAATGTCAAATTGCAATTTGAAGGTGAGGTCTGCAATTATGGTGTGTACAGAAAAGCAAGAAGTGGAAAGAAACATAATTACAGAAAGGGATGACACATCCCCAATTCTGCTAGCTTGAGGATTATTTCAGGCTAGTCTTATTTGCTCTTATGCCTTCTTCTGCTTCTTTACATCGCTTTAGACCATATGACAAAGACCTTGATATGTAATATTCCATCTCTCAGGAGGAGTCAGAATAAAATTATGCTAGATTAAGTACTTTTTTAAAGTACAGAGGATTTTTTTATTTTATTTTTTGCACTGCAGCTTTGAGGTATTTTGTGGCTAAGCATTTTTTAGGCTGGTCTCCCTCTTTTGGTCAAAATACTTTCATTTCCCTAAATATGAAGTGCAGACATCTGGCCTTCTGGTGGGTTATTAACACAGAAACATGCCATTTTACTTGTTCTTTATTGAGAATGTAGTTATCGTGCAAATAGAGATGTGTGCGGAATCCTGGTTGGGAATAGGAATCTGTCAGATTTCCTCAGCTCAGTTCCCTTGACTCCAGTACACTTCCTCCCTGCCCTAAAGCTGCCTCCTATCAAGTACAGTGGTATCTTGGCTCACAAATGCCTCAGTTCATGACCAAATCAGGTCGCGAACAAAAATTTCATAAAATTTTTTACTCAGGTCACAAACTCCACATTGGGTGGCGACCGCGATCATGCTGAGAGTGGTGGGGAGATGGCTGAGATCACGCCCGTCTTCCCTGCATGAGTGCAACCGCAATCTTGGCCATCTCCCCCCCAGCGTGCCTGCATTCGTGCCCATCTCTTCCCCCCCCCAGCGCATCCGTGTTTGTGCCCATCTCTCCCCCACCTCAGTGCGCAGGGATGACGGGCGCAAATGCAGTTGAGCTGCCGGGGGGGGGGGGGGGGGGGGAGGGCCACGTTTGTGCTCAGGGTGGGGGTGGGGGAGATGGCTGCTATCTTTGTTGCTTTGTCATTTTCCTTCCAATTTTTCTGTTTAAAAAGATAGTTATAGAATGGATTAACCTTATTTACATTGAACCTTATGGGGAAATTTAACTTGGCTCACAACCAATTTGGGTCATGAACAGAGTCCTGAAACGGTTTAAGTTCATGAGCCAAGGTACCACTGTATTCATGTGTGTATCTAGTAGGAAGCAAGTCCACGAGGCTGGCCTGGACACAAGCCACCCATGTACCTGTCACACAAGCAAAGTTCTGTTTACACACATGTGGCTTGTGCACTTTGTGCAAAGAATTGCATATTTTGCCCAATGAAGGGATCCACTAATCTTCCCGAGCATTTCATAGACTCATAGTAGAGTTGGAAGGGGCCATGGAGGCCATCCGGTCTAACCTCCTGCTGTTGCAGGACACAATTTGCACCATCCCACTCAGATGACTGTCCAGTTTCGCCTTGCCTTGTATGTCTGTACTGTGGGAGAACCCACCACCTCTCTAAGCAGCTGGTTCCACTGTCATATTGCTCTGACAGTAAGGAAGCTTTTCCTGGTATTTAGCCTGAATCTAGATTATTGCAGCCTGACTTGATTATTCAATGTTCTGCACTCTGGTATCAGCAAGACATCTTGACCTTCCTCTCTGTGACAGCCTTTGAGGTACTTGCAGAGTGATACGATGTCCCCTCTCAGTCTTCTCAAGACTGAACATGCCCAGTTTTCTCAGTCTCTCCTCATAGGGCAGTGTTTCCAAACCCTGGATCATTTTTGTTGCCCTCTTCTGGAACCTTTCTACTTGGGACTTGATCTTGGCCTGACTCACTTCCTGACCAGAGCGGAGTGCAGGAAAGAAGTCTGGTGAGCACAAGAGAGCCAGATTTCATCAGGATCCTTGCATTCCTAAGTACAAAGCCAGTTTTGTCCTGCTTTCTGTCCCTTACTTCTGGAGAGGGTAATCGTGCACCCTCCTCTTAGCTTGGGTGATTGTGTATGCATTGCATGCCCTGAGTTCCAGGATGTCCTTTTAGATGCTCAGCAGCTTCACCTTAGAATTCTAAAAGAATGAAAAAAATGAATATGTTAAAATGCATGCCTTCCCAGGGAACCCTTCCACAGAATCTGCAATTCTAAGAGAGCATACTGCTTCCTTGGGCCTAGCTGAAGACATACCTTGATATCATCTGGGTCTCTATTGCCAATGTAAGAGAGTATCCATGAGGTAAGCTACCCTCTTCATAGCAAAAGAGCCTTTTTGAAGAGTCACTGCTCTTGGCCCAAAGGAAGCTGCTGCGGTGTTTGGAGGAGATATGGCTGCCCTATCTCCCTTTTCATTCTTCTGTGAACATCTTCCTGAACCTGGTACACTCGAGATGTTGGACTACAGCTTTCATCATCCTCAATGAGCACCAGCTAGGGGAAGACTGGTCAAATAGTGTGTTAGAGAGCAAAGATATGAAAATTCTGTGAGAACAGTAGCAGAAAATGTGTAATTCAATGAATGTTAACTTGTTACTTGCACATTTTGCAGCTTGCCCTTGAGTCCTTCCCATTAATAGGTAGCTATTTATGTATAAATCTCATCTTATGCATAGCAAAACAGATGCGTTTGCCATTTGCTAATATTTTAAGATGTTATAGAAAAGGGGATGATCTATTGTTAGTGTGAGCGGGGACATGGAAGGTGCCAAGTTCTTCTTCCACACTCAAGTGTGACCTGTAAGAGTGGGTTTCCCACTGTCTCTGCCATGGGAAGAAATGCAAAGCCTTGAAGGGAAGGCCTTGTAGAAGGGAAATCTTCACAACCTAATGCAGGAGATTTGAACGCAGATCCAAAATCACCTATCAAAAAGGAATCATATTAAGTTGATTGATTTCTCATTGAGTGGCTTTGGTATTGCCATTTTAAATTCACTGCTATACAGAAAGGCAGTATACCTTGAAGGCAAGCAGTTTACATACCTCAAAATACTGGAAGAAAAGCCTAGCTATCTCAATATGAAGTGATTTAGGCTCATTTTACTGCACTGTATCTATGGCTAGTCAGCTGCAGAGAGTCCAAAGTGAAGGCATCCTGCAACCACTGCTGTGTGCATGTGGCTTTTATCTTTTTCACTTCGTTAATCAGAGAAGGCATGGTTTCTTTCCAGTTTTGGGGTGTGCCAGGAACACAAAGCAGCTTTGGGTCTGGAAGTCCAAGCCCTCACTTGATCCACCCTAACATGCTCCTTTTTTTGCTCGGCTGCCAGAGCTCTGAAGTGCACGTTTCGGCTGCTGCAATGTGGCCTCTGGTGATGGTTTTCTGCAAAATTCTGGTTCATGGGATGACTTCCCAGGGATCATGGATTGTATCCTAAATCCTATCATTCCAGCTATAATCTGATAAAGGATAATGCAGCTAAAGATGGATAATTACCATGGAACAATATTCATAATAAGAAACATGACTCAAAACTGGATCAAATATATGCTTTATTTTTTAAAAAAAACATATGCATCCAATATAGCACTGGAATCCTTGTAGCAGCAACCAAAAAGGCACAAAAGTGTAGAAACAACCTAAACTCCTAATAGCAGTCCTCTCCATAAATTTTTATCACTACTTATGATTCATATTACCCAAGTTACAATACACCAACTCACTTGACTGATGCAAGAGGAAGAAGTCAGAATATTGTAACTTCTGCAATATGCATCACAATTTTACCTGCACCCATCATCAATCCTTACTGCTGAACTTAATGGAGGTATCAGGCAATTATTCCAACAGAGTTTGGAACTTCTTGAAAATAAAGATATATGCCCATGCACTCAAGTATAAGCATTTCTAATTCATTCAAGATGTTTCGGTGTGTGTTTTAAAATAAGTGTTGATAAGCACGTACACTTTAAAGACCACAGTAGAATTTTGCACTTATGCACCTAGTAGATTATGGTAAAGTGTCAGTATTTATTTGCCTAACAACATTCTCACAGCACCTGTGGGCACTCTGGCAGGCACAGCAATCCTGCCCGTGGGCTCTCTGGCCCCATTCAGCAGAGAGGGCACCCCTGCAAAATCCATGTGCACTTATGGCACCACTTGATCAGTTAAACTGGGGAGCTCCTTGTCAACATTATAGCTCGCATGTCCGCTCAACACTGTATGGGAAAATCAAAGGAAAGGACACTTTATATGGGCTTTTGATGAGACACCGATGCATAATTTGACAAATGGTTAGAAAACTGCCTCTTCTGGGAATTTCAAAAAAAGAAAGGTCCAAACAAAGCAGTATATAAATTCCCACATACCCATTGTAATAAAAGCTACTTAAGTATATTTCAAAAGCAGGATCTTGTAGTATTTATTGTTTGATCATAGGAACTTTTTTGGGGGAATGTTATTTAACAGAGAATTTGAAAGATTAATTAAATTAATATTCTGTAAGTTTTCATATTCTTTTTACACTTATTAGCATTACATGTGTACTCTCAAAAATAGTTTGTACACGTTTAGAGAACTAGAAAAAGGAATAAGGCCCTTTAAGAACTGAGGTAAAATCAACAAAAGATAGGAGTGTAACAATGATCTCCATTTTCCATGGTACTTAAAAATAGAGCTGAATTCTGTAAATAAAGTGTATATTTGGTATTTCCCATACTTGTTTTGTATCTTCCTTCTTGTTCTGGAATGACTTAGTGGAAGTCAAGCTTTCAGTTCCATTAGATAATAACCCAAGAATTTGGAGTGCAAACTGATCAACCACACAGTAGAAAATGGGTATCTATCCATGACGGTGAGTGAGAAAGAAATATCCAAGTATGATGGCCTCAGTTCAGTACAGACTCTGCCGCTTCCCTGATGAGTGAGACAGCTTTATCCAATTCCAGTTCTGTTTGTTCTACAGTTACAACAACTCGAATGCTGGTAGGAGCAAATCAACAAATCAGTCAAAAGCGGCAGTCAGTCACCCTGTGAACAACCCATGCAGTGTGGGTTCTTCATGGAAGAACCATAGTACACCCAACAGATGATTGGGTTCACTGTGGCTTGTTCTCCCCCTTCCCCCTCAGCACTCTAGCCATATCCGTAAGAACATTAAAAAGCCACGCTGGATCAAAGAGAGGGTTTGTCTAATCCAGCACTGTTCACACAGCGGCCAATCAGCTACTCAAAGGCTCCCTCAAGCAGGGCAACAGCACCATCCTGCCCCACGTTCTCCATCAACAGTTTTACAAAGCCATATTGCCTCTGATACTGGAAGCACCTGTCTAATCTTTCAGTGTCTGCTCTGATAACTAACCCCCTTTGTTTGCCGCTAGTTTTTTTCCCCTTTTCAAAGCCTCACATATATTCAGTTGGGATTTTTCTCCCCAGCACTAGAACATTTGTGCCAATTAAATGGAAAGGCAATAAGCAGACGGTAAATTTGGGCACTTGCAGTAACTGCTCTGAAACCCATTATGAGGCATGTGCTCCAAAAAAAAGAGATGCAAAACGTGTGTGCAAATGTGTGTGTATGTGGGGAGCCAACCTCTTTTCCTTCTGGACTGCTGGAGACACAGGGAAGTGCCGAAGGGCACCAAGAAGTGCCAATCCAACACTTAAATGCTGAGAAGAAGAGAAGTGTGAAATATTGCTCTTCCTGACTCCCTTTTGGTGTACCTTCTTTCACTGATTTTGTCCATTGCCAGTGCTTTTCGACTGACAAATCAGCAAAGGAACCCTGTGAACTCCTTCCAAATCAACCAATGTGCAGTCTTAGCTTTTCAATTTCCAGATCTGCTGCCTACTCTATTCCCTGCTCCTTCTGAGGACTGAAATGTTCAACATACTGACCAAGCAAGAAAACCCCAAGAAGACACTTTCAAAAGATGGACACATAAATGAAATATTTATGAACACATTTGCACGATTTTCTGGGTCCAATTTCTTTTCTTGTTTAAAAGCTGGCAAATTGTTTAGTAACTCCAAAGTGCTGCTTGGTCATCAGTAGAAGATGACCATCACTGGCAACAACAAGGGAAATATTGAGAAAACTTGTAACAAGTTTGCTGCTGTTGCAGACTGGCGTGTTGGCTGGTCTCTACTACCAATGGTGGAATTGTTTTGCGGGGTTTCAACAACACAGTAACCCATTTAGGATAAGGTCTGGGTTGTCAGCATACTTTGTTTAGTAGCTTAGTCATCCTTCATGAAGGTTTCCTGATTCACATGAGAAGGAAACCCATTGGATCTGCTTACCCATGAAGGGTTCCATGAACCCAGTTAAGATTTGTTTACTGCACACCAAAAAAGTCACCAACCCCTGAAAGTCACCTGTTGCCCACTCCATATCAACAGGTTGCATTTTTGTTTATTGTGCTCTTTGCAGGTGTTGTATTTATTGTCATAAAAAGCGGTAATAACTGCTAAACAGTTATTTAGTGGTAATAACTGCTAAATTGCTGGCCACTTTGACTGCCTATTTAGGATAAATTTAAAAAATATTTAACAGGACAACTGAACTTTGGGGAGGTCAGAGGGGCTAATACTTGACTAAATGGGCCACTGATTGACTCAGCATAGGGCAGCTTTCTATGCAAGGCCTCAATCCAGTAAGTTTACTGCTTTTCTTTATCCAGATTGCTTCAAAGTTCCTGCTTCATATTACAGTTTCACTTATTAATGCAGCAATGCAAAATACAAATTCTAGAACTGGTGACTGGCATAGTTCAATAGCTACAATATGTGCATGGATGTCAGCAGTGAAAGAAATTCTGCTGCTTGTGGAAATCTCACCCTTTCCCATGCTAAGCTTTTACACATTATATTTAAGACTGTTTATTTTTTTTATTTTCAAAGAAATTGTGTAACAACCACGAATCCTGTGTAATGGAAGGCCAGCAATGTAAATGATCATCTTTATTGATACACTCTATAAGAAAGTTCTGCCTATTCAACAAACTAGCCTTCCCCAACCTGGTGCCCTCCAGGGATGTTGAGCTATTGCCCATGCTGTTTGGAGATGACAGGACACCTACAGTTAGGGGAGACTACAGCAGGCCAACCTTTTACTTATAACACAACACTGACCTTTAAAAGCCAGAGCTCCAACACAAGGTAGAGCTAGCTTCCCACACCACCACGCGCATTATCAGAAGTACACTTTGGTTTTAGTATGAAGGCGAGCATCTACTAACCTGGGTGGTGGGAGAAATTTCTCTTCTTTCTCCAGATAGCGAGCCTGAGTTAATGCAATGCCTCTGTTCATACACTGGGCAGACAGAGCACAACCAGTTATAAGATGCCACAATGATGCTGAAAAGACTCTGATCGTGAACTCTTCTGTGCTTGCTGCAGCTTCCCCCAACCCCAACTTTCCCTTTTTCAGAGACTGTCTTTCAGACTCTGTGATGTGGAAGTTGCTGCTAGCAATTTCAAAGTGCCCAGGCACACTGGAAGGGCCATTAGCCCCAGAGAGGTCGGCCTGGTGCCGTCGTTACTTGTTTTTTCGGCGCCAGGCCAAGACCTTTTTATTTAAAAGTTACTTTAATTGTTAATTTATGAATTGTATTTATGGGGTTTTTATGTACATGCCGAGATGTTTCCGTTTTTTTAACTCTAATTGTATAAACTGTTTATTTATGTTTATTTATTATTGTTGTAAGCCGCCCCGAGGCTTTTTGAGAATGAGGCGGCATAAAAATGGTTTAAATAAAATAAATAAATAAATAAATAAGTTAGTGCTTCACCGCCTATTTTCATTTTTTGTGAACCACTGAATTGTGAACTGAAGGGGCACACATTTTTGGTTTTCCTGAGTTACACTACTCTGAATAGCTGAAATGGAAAGGCCTGTCTGGGTAATGTCCTGGTAAGCAAGTGCTACCAAAGTGCAGCAGGAACCAACCATAGACACTGCCCAGGAGATACTGCAAATAGGTCTGTGCTCACTCATTTGACAGCTGTCGTCAAACAGAATGCTGTCAATGGACGAGAAAAAAAACCATGAGGGATCTTTGTTTGCAGAAGGGTGTGGTGATCTCCATCCCTTCATGGTGAGATCCTCAAAGTTTGTCTGTTCCCTCCAGTTCCCAATGGCTCTCACCTGTTCCTTAATTCCCCAAATCTCCAGCTACTCAGGAAAGCAAAGATCAGAAAGCTGCTCACCTTTCACGAACATTTCTTTTGATGACTGTCAAATGAAAGGTGTTTCTTTCTCTGGAAAATTCCCACATATGTTTTTGATAAGGAAATATTTAGCCATGAATCTACATAATCGAAGATTCAGGAAAGTGAAGAACTTACCTGGAAATTGCCCAGGCAAGCCTTTGCATTTTGGCTATTTGGAGTTGTGCACTTGTGCAACTCTAGAAAACGAGCAATGCTATGTATTTAAAATCTCCAAAAAACAAAACAAGAAAAGATGACCTGCTAACTGAAAGAACTTGCAATCAAGGCAGGGAAAACAAGCCAGTGATCTTCACCCCCAGGTGCCATTTGGGCACTTGGTGAAGCAGCTGCACTGGTAGCAGCTTGAACTAGCTCAGCAAGACCAGTGAGGGATTTTTTTTTCTGTTTTTGCCAAGTGACTTGCTCACTGCATGAATATGGACCACTGCGGTTGGTTGCCTGGGTTTGAATGATACACAAACACCATAGTGGGTCATGTAACAAGCAGTGGGTTGTCAGCTTATTGTCCCAAAACAAGCCACCCTGTGGGAAGCCGTCCATGTTCATACAACAGAACAGCTTGTCATGGCTATTTGTTGGCAATGGGTTTCCATGTTGTGTGCATCCAACTGCTGTCTTTCATATGCCTGATGAACAGTGACCACTGCCAGCTGACTGATGTAGCCATTTGCTACTTTCGAAGTTTCGCAGAGCAATCTAGATGACATATTTGATAGATACAGAATGTCTCCATTAGCTTAGAGAAATTCCAAAAAGTAGTCTTACATAATCTACAATTTCTTTCAGAAGCCTCATATCACCCTCTTGGGATCCAGTGCTCTCTTCCAACTGGAGGTGCAATGCTGGGGAAAATGACTCTCCCACCAGCCGCAGACCAGGAATCCTAAATAATGCCAACACATCAAAATCATCTGCATAGTCAAGGATTACAATTAAAACTGTGTGTATGTAAAAACTACACGAGTAAATGAAATGTACAATTTGCTGTAATGTATTAATAAGGTTGGAATTTAAAAATTTATGTATTTATGTATTTATTTATTCAACTTGTATTCTGCTATACTAGTCTGAAGACTTTCCAAGCAGATTATAGTATTACATAAAATAATAATAAAAACAACCCTCAGTAAAACAGAAATACACAGCCTAGATCAGATATCAATAAGTTAAAATATATTAAAACTAAAAACAGTATAAATAATATCCAAGTATAAAATCAATTGTTAAAATGTCTGGAGAAGAGGACTGTTTCTGCCTGGCGCTGGAAAGATTGTAAAGATGGTACCAGGCAAACTACTTTCGGAAGGCCATTCCATAAATGGGTGCAGCTACTGAGAAGGCCTCTCTTCTATTTGCCATCCTCAAATATAGCAAAGGCAAATTTAGCACAACACTACTTCATTCACTAGGACCTGCCGCCTTTTTCCAATCAGTTTATTCACAAAGCAACAAATAATGATATGCCATATAGCAGAGGGCAGAAACAAACCACATGCATTAGAACAGACTGACTGTTTTGATAAACCTTCCATTTCCCCTACCTCATTAATTATCTCACATCCCTTGTTGTAACTCAGCTCCCCAGAGAGGTTCACCTGGTGCCCTCTTTGTATTCTTTGGCACCAGGCAAAGACCTTTTTTATTTTCCTGATATCTTAACTGCTAGGATGTTTTTAATGGTTTTAAAATTTTATATTTGCTTTATAATGTGCCTTTTATGTTGTCTTTGGAGATAAACTGTGGTTCTGTGAAGTTTTGCAATAGCATTGGCTTTGGATTGTTGGATACTTGGATTTTGTTATATTAATGGTTATTTTAATAGTATTTTTATTGTACATTTTTTAGCTTTGTAACCTGCTCAGACAGCAGGAGGAATAAAAATCGAATGAATGAATGAATGAATGAATGAATGAATGAATGAAGAAGAAGAAGAAGAAGAAGAAGAAGAAGAAGAAGAAGAAGAAGAAGAGGAAGAAGAGGAAGAAGAGGAAGAAGAGGAAGAAGAAGAAGAAATACTAGTATTCGAGAAGGAGAAGGAGAAGGAGAAGAAGAAATACTAGTATCCAGAATAAATAATTTGGGGGAAGGAGGTACTTTCCTAAACAAATAGCATCACATGTTGTACCACAGCAGGAAAAGTTTTCCTGCTGTGGTATTAGACCAAAGGCCTTTGGTCTAATACTTTGGTCTAGGATTAGACCAAAGGCCACTTTACTACAAGGTTCTTGTTTTAGCTACCAAAAAATGTAAAGGAAAAATGTGCTACTGGGCCTAAAAGAAGCAAAGGTAACAGTACTGGGCTCATGGTATTCAATATAAGACAGGTGATATATAGGACTCCTAGTTAGTTTCGGCTCCTGCTTCCCTCTATATGTAGACCAAGCACCAAGTAAAGTATACCTAAACTATACTTCCAAATCAAGAAGGAGTGAGAAAAGGAACTTCCTTGAATAGTAAAAACATATATTTTCCTGCTACCAGATTAGCCAAAAAGCCATGCAAGCCCAGACTGACTGCCTCTGACCGGACAAATGAATTACACACTAAAAGGGCGGGGGGGGGGGGGTGCAAGAACATTGCATGCTACTGCTAAAGCTGTGTAGTACACATTTTGCTAAACTTGATTTTAGCAATACCCTAAAATTACTACTGTGGAAGAAGTCAGTGATCATCTCCAGAGAAGTCTCCATTTCCAGCAGTTAGACATTAACTGAAATTGCTGGGAAAATATACTGCTGCAAGTTTGCAATGCTGTAATTGTTTATTGTAAATGTTATTTAATGATAGGAAGCCATCAACAACTCTGATACATGCAGGAACAACACTTGGATAATACTATAAGGCAAGAAATATCTCATCTCATCAGACTCTCTTCTGTCTAAGGGTGCATCGGACTGTGTCCTCAAGAAGATTTTTTAAATACAAGCATATAAAGGGCTTACATAGCCCGTTACTTCACAAAAGGTATTTATCACAGTGTTTTCTTTCATTTCAACATGAAAATGCAGGGCCAATGTAAATTCCCAACTACTCTGTGCACGCTGTCCAACCGCACTGAGACTTGGTAATTCAAACTTCAAGGATGAGCTCTAAATCCCACATCCTCTGCCAAAACCACACCATCCAGAACTGTAGCTATTTATTTAAGGGGTAATAATTCAATAGTGACTTAGAACCACAGAGGTTCATAACAAACAAATCTCTGATGACAGTCATTAGGTACATTTTTAAATTACCACTTTATTCAGAAGTAGACAAAATGTCTAGAAAAAAAGAATGTGAGGGCTTAAGATGCAGTCCTATGCCATGTTCACACACAACTCCTAGCAACCTTTCAAACAGACATGTAAACAGACATGTTAAAAATGAAATTTAGGGCATTTTTCTGTCTAAACATGCACAGGATTGCACCCTACACTGCACCAAAGGTAACTGTTGCCTAAACAATGCAAGGTAAGCATGCATATGAGCAGGTCTTAGCATACTATTCTAGGAAGCAAAATATTTCATGTTAAATTCTGGCAAAAATTTAAGTCAAAATAGAACATTAACATGTTCGATCAATGAATATAATTGGTACATGAGGAACACATAAAAATATTTAAGGTGTGTAATCACCTTTCGACCCCTGCTAATTCAAAGCTTTGATATTCACAGGTTTTGCCTGAACAGCACTTTGTTTCATGTATACACACACATACTGGGTTTTCTAGCGGCTGCTATACAAATCCCAAGTTGATATTCAAGTTCCTTTTGTCAGTTACTTAAAATAAACCATCACCTGACACAAGTACATATCCAGCTAGAGAGGAACAATAAACAAAGAAAAGAGCCAGACACAGCTCTTTCAGACAAAAGGTCACTTAATGCTTGTGCTAGAGGGGAAAGGCTGACTTTGTCTATTTCCCAACCATATACTAAGAGTATTTGCCACAGATGCGAGTTTGGCACTATCTATTCACAATGAACAAATCTCCTAGAGAAAATGTAGTAGACTAGGGCTTTAAGGAAAAGCCAAGGGTAGGCAGAAAAATAAAATGTACTTGACCAGGGAAAAGAGAATGACAGAGTCCTCTACAACATTAGACACCAAATGCTATGCTATTGCCTATGCTCTTCTCTGCAGTCCTGAAAGAGGCATCTGACAACCCAGGAGTGAGTAATACACCAATGCAAGGTGAGACCCTAAGCAGAATGTGGGGCACAATAATGCATAATCTTGCATGCAAAATCTACTGAAATGCATAGACATTAATTCTGCACAAGTTGTTATGGTAACTGTATCCCAAATCTTCATATTGGTCTTCATATGGATTCATGCATTAGGTGATATTGTTACCCATGAGGGATGGCTTGAGTTTAGATGGAGACAACTCCTACTGAATGCTATGGTATTAGTATGGGTCTATGGTCAGATATATTTAGCAGCAGTGAGGGTGGCAAGGAAATAACATCTTACTGCTTCTATGGAATCCTCTGTGGATTTTGAATGGGCTGGTTTTAGCTGTAAAAGTGTTGTCTGAAATGTGCTTTTAAATTTTTAATGTAACTTTATGCTGCTTTATTGTTATATTCTATACGGTATTTTACTGCATTCATTACACATGTTCACCACCTAAAGCATGTCAGTTACTGGGCGGTATAGAAATTAAATTTAAAAAACCAAACAATAATATGTGCCACCCGGTGGAGCTTTTTTGGGTTTTCTGGGGCTGATTCCATTCCATTCCTCACTGTTGCTCCAACTGAGGCTTACTGTAATAAACTTGCCAGGCACTTCCAGGATAAAGTCTCTTGCATTTGCCAGAACTAAGACTCCAGTGATAGAGCAAGAAAATCAGGTGGGGTAACCAGAGAACAGACATGCCTAGTTTTCTTGAGCATGTACCAACTGTATCAACTACACAGTGTACCAACTACTTGGACAGACTCATACAACCAATTCCATAGCCTGGTTCTTCTCTGTCACTCTCATCCTTGAGATGGCCTCAGTAGCACAAAGGGCCTTTTACCAACTTGTTTGCTGGCCCAGCTATGTCCCTATCAAGACAGGGACAGTTAGATTACTGCAGTCACCTCTATATGGAGTTGCCCTTTACGTTCAAAAGCTACTTAATGCACCAGACAGATTAATAACTGGAACCAGAAGTTCTGATTGTATGATACCAATATTGATCTGCTTGCATTGGCTACCTGCACGTTTCTAAGCCCATTTCAAGATGCTTTTCTTAACAAATAAACCTCAAACAGTTTGATATTGCAATACACAAGAGCACACCTCTGTTGAAATGAACCTACTTAGATGCTACAATCAACATCAGAGACCTTCCTCCAAGAGAGATTCAGAAAGTGGCAAAAAAAAAAAAATAACCTTCTCAGTTGTATCCTCCAATTATGGGCCAATTGGCCTACTGAACCCCAGCTGGCATCAACATTGTCATATATTTGATGCCAGGCTAACAGTGTCCTCTACTCCCAGACATTTAATGACATTTATGACAACTTTATCAAGCCTATTATTTGCTTGCAGAAATTGCTTTGCTGTTTAAATTGTTTTAAATAATGTATGTTAAGAATAACTTATTATCCTGTTTTTGTAATTTTTGTGAATGGCTACAACAGTTTTGGCAAAAGTGTGGCATAGCAATGAAATACTACAGTGAATAAAATAATAAAAATGTAATAACTGAACAGATGATTGGTGCAAAAGGCATTTTTCAGGCTGAACACAAAGACAAGTATCAGCAATAACTGTGCAGTAATATTTTTTCTTAAAGTGATTCTGCAATGCTTTTTGACCAATCGTTCCATTTTAATTATGCCTTTTCTTCTCTTTACATACGACTGTATATATTGAACCAGCAAAAATGCTATATTCCCCATTAACAATCATCTTCTATAGAGGAAACTTGTGCATGCTTGTGAATGTTATTTAGCATGTGACATGTTTATCTATCCCAACTATAATTTAATATAGCACTACTGGAGAAACTATTCATGTCTGCCACTGAAATGCTTTGGTAAAGCATTTTTAACTCTAAGATGAATTATTTCATATTCATCTTATCATATTTCAAGATTATCATCTTTCAAAAACTTGCTCATACACTAAAATGTTTCTCAGGTTTATCACCTTAAGATAAAACAGCAAGTGTAGTCAAGAGCGATTACAAAGAGCCTACTTTCAGGGAACAGTTACATGTCTGAACAAATGTGAACTCTTTAGAAGTCATCTTCTGTTCCAAATTCAGCTTTAAGTAATAAAAAAAGTATTTACTTACCCTTGTAAAGCTTTGTGTATTCGCTTACATTTCTCTTGTAATATCTGAAACATGTCTAGATGAATACACAAAAAAACATAGCTTTCTTTCAGTTTTGGAAGCTAGAATTGAGAAAGATAATTTCGGATGCAATTCTATACATATCTAGAGATAAATAGATCCTACAACTCCCAGACAGACATGTTGCAAGTCATAAGACTTATTTCTTCCAAGTAAACATAGGATTACACCTTTAAATAACTGTTTAAGTCTTGTGCTAGAGTTGCCCAAGCTACTTCTACAATCCATCTGCTCATCTACCACTTAAGATATCATAGGTAAAGAGACAAAGAACATAAATCCAGGTCTTAGTCACACAAATACATGGCCAAAAACCATAAGGAAACAGATGGCAGGGACATAAGAATAGGAGCTGTTGTTGGAGAAGCATGTCAGCTGTGGAATGTTTTGCTGGGTTGGTTTGGAAATCCCAGCAACAATTCCTGGCTTGCTTAAACCAGGAAATACAGGGAGTATTGGCACACAAGAGCCATATGCTCAGTTTCCACTTTTAATCAACAAATCAGGATTGTTTGCGTTCCTGGGTTGTTTTGTGACAACTTGTTTAAGGGTTGTTTAAGGGTTAAACAATCCTGAGCTAATTCAACAATTGTCTGTGGTTTATTATTGGCTTATCGTTGGGTTGTTTATCCCTGAGCAACCAAGTGTCTTCATGAAAGAAGTCATGAAGCAATCCAGGAAGGGAACATCCCTTGGCTGAATAAAAGTGGCAACAGTGAGCATGGAGCTCTAGTACCATCCCTACAGCACCTGCAATAAACAATCCATGAATTATTGCTGTGACACCCAAACCCAGGCTCCACCTAACAACTGAAAAATAGACAAGTGAGAAACAGAGCTTTCCTTTTTTGCACAAGAAAAACTGCAGAATGAACAAGTCAGCAAAAAGCCTGCAGAACTTGTGTGGAATTTGAGAGGACTCTTTTCAATTCTGTGGAAAAAGGTGTACAGGATGGTAATCAAAAAGATTTGGCCTTTAGAGAAGTGATCTTCACTGGGTGACAGCAGCATAAGGTACTTTCTAGAGTTCTAGCAGATTGATGCAAATGCAAAGAAGCAGAGGTCTGAAAGATTACTAGAAAAGATACTCATCTCCTTGATCATTTTAATTGGCCATTTTAGGCAGCACCTTTTCCACATAGGTAACTTCCTTTTAAAAGTATGTACACTAATCAAAATTTTCTTGTTGTGGCCATCTTCAATTTAATATAATGTCATTATCTTATTTGCTCCTTTTGGTAAAAATCCCAATACTAAATTGGCCTTTTTCCAAAGCACCCTGAACTGATCCAACATGGCTCCATGAACATTCCTAGTAACATTCCTAGTAACCTCCCTTCCCTTCCCTTGCCGCAAAATGCATGGGAGCAAAAGAGAGGCAAGAGATGCTGCTTGCTGTGAGGCCCATCTAACCATCTATGCCCACCTGTGGTTTATTTTGCACAAAATGAAGTCTGCTAAGTACTCCCCTAGTTTGTGAGAGATTCCTTTGGTGCCTACCTTCAGATTTTACTATCCTCAACTACTGCTATCATGCGCAAACTTTGCTTTAACTCTAAATAATTTAGGCAAAACTGCACCCTGGAGATTTTTTAAGCATGCCAAATGTGACCTCTAAGTCCAAAGTAAACTTATAAAATTGAAGACAACCAAGCATACCTAATAAGTACAAGATGGAAAATAAAAAATAGGAAATTTTTAAAAAGATACCTGGGCTTTCTTCCATGATATTGAGAGCCTCAATAGCAGCAGCAGCTAGAAGAGGAGGCAAAGAGGCTGAAAAGCAGTATCCCTGACCAGACAGTCTCTGAAAGGAATAACAGTAGTGACTGAGTAAACTTAAAATGAATAATCTATTGCTACATAAAGTATATTTAGATGTTGAGGCTGCACTGCACTGAATATCAGATTAATCCAAATTGTCTATGTGCAAATTGCCATCAGTGTGCAATCCCAGTGCACATCATTTTAAATGCCAGCATCTTTTGAAGATATAGCAATACTACAAGCCGGCAACCTGAGCTCCTTTGTTGTTGCAACAGGATTCCTGCGTTTCTGCCAACATCCAGGGTTGGGTCCCTAGAGCTTTTGAAGCTCTGCTTCCTCTCTCAGTAGTCATGGCTCCACAAGGACTCTGGATATCAGCTCAGGAGTGGAACAGGGCCATCAGCTTTCTTTTGCTCCAGCACAGCCTTCCACCATGCTGCGTTCCACCTGCGTTAAGCTAGAAGTCCTGGCTGGCTGGGACATGGTGGAAGTCAGAGCCCACCACAGTTGGAGGTTACCAGAATGGGGAAATCGGTGTTAGCACTTTCTTCCTCCTGTCCTCTTCTCCCCATTCCCTTGCCTTGCTAGTCACTGCCCTTGTAAATGCATGGTGAGTGCCATGTAAATTACTGAAACTTAGAGCTGCTGCAAATCAGACCACAGCCTGGGAATCCGATAGATCCCTTCTTCCAAATGGATTCCCTTCTTTAGAACATGTAACAGACACATCCAGTCTGCCCCCAACATCTGCAAACATGCCAGGATGTGCTGCCTTCCCTTGATACCTATGTTGGTCATAACATTCCACTGAAATTTAACTCTGAGATCTGTAATTCACATTCCAAGAATCTACACATACCTGGTGGTCAATAACAAAGGACTGTCCACAGCAAAAACCTCCAATAGAAGCCAGAGAGTTTTCCATACTTGCACTTATAAGATCAATGTCATCCACCTATTGCACAAAAAGTGGTGATAATATGATGTTAAATATTGCATGCTTGGAGTGAGTCATAGAGCTGTAAGAAAGCAAAGACCCACTTTCTAAAGTACTTAGATATCCACTTTTTCTATAACCTTTTAAGCAGAGATACCAAATGACACATATGATTACAGCAACAGACACTGAACAGCTTTTGGAATTTGCAGTCAGAGTGAACTGTAACAGCCAGACTGCTTTCTGGCATGTGCCTTATTGCGCATGTTGCACCAGCCTTGCAATAACGGCACTTGCTGCCAATTTGTTTCTAGGCCCAATTCAAAGTGCTGGTCCTTTTATATAAACCCCAAACCATTTGGGGCAAGCTATCTGAAAGACCATGTCCTTCTGCACGAGCCAGCCTTTAGTTTAAAACATACTTTTGTAAGTTCTAGCCAAGAAACTAGTCTGTGGGACAGAACTTCCTTGACAGCAGCACACTGGATGTGGAAATCTTCCTCCGGATGTTAAACTAGTGCTTTCTTTAATTAGTTTTAAACAGGCCATTAAACCTTCTTGTTCTGCATTTTAAACAATTTTAATGAGTTAGCTCTGCTCTCTGGTTTTCATATATTTTTCTCCTGTGCTTAATGCTGCTGTATGACATTGTTTTATTGTTTTCAAACTGTTTAAATGTTTTAAATTTTAGGCTTCCTTTGAAGCTCTTTTTGGGCCAAAAGTTGACTCAGAAATAATTTTATAAACAAAACAAAATGTGCAAACAGTAAATTGCAAGGAAGAAGTTGTAAGTAAAACAAGATGCCCTGCCCTAAATATCAGATTTTAACATTTTAAGTGTCTTGATTCTCTTCGTAAAGATCTGAAAGAGTGATACCTGAAGCCACATTATGGTAACAATGTGAGTTACCATTTCCACACAAAGCTAATGATCAAGGGTTTATATAGAAAGAGCTATATATGCAAAGTTTGTGGTATATATTTATTATTTTATTTATTCAACTTACGTTCCGCTATACTAGTCCGAAGACTCTCCAAGCGGATTACAATATTACATAAAATAACAATGTATATATAGGCATGCATTGTGTGAGAACCGTTGTGGTAAACAAGACAGTATTTACCAAACATTGCTTTTGCTTACCATTTTCCTGGCACTAAAATCTATTTTCATTACAGACAGCCATTCACTTACATTTATTCCAAAATGTTCTGTAACTCCTCGTCCATGTTCTCCCAATACTCCAAAAGAAAGACTTTCTTCCAGAAATAGCCTCACTTTGTATTTGTATTTTAACTTGACCTGTAGATTTATTCAATTGACAAGCAACACAAAACAATATATAATCATCTTTATTCAGTACAAGGAATTCATTTCATTCAGTTCCATTCATTCATTCAAGTTATTTGCTGCAATATTAGTCCATACTTGGGCTTTGAGCAGCTTGCAAACAAAATCACATAACATTTTTAAAATCTAAAGCACTAGAGCGTTAACAAAAAATCCAAAAGTATAATGAACCAATTCAATAAATTTAAACCATTACATAAAAACTTTTAAAATAAACAATTTTAAATTAAAATAAAAACTAGAAGCCATAATAAGGTTGGGTTAAAATCAAAATTGCTTCTACAATCAACCATTCACCCCATTCTGCATTAATGCCACATTTTGTGCTTTGAATACCCACCAGAATCAGAATTCTTGTAACACATTCTTCAGCTTACCAGTACCAGAATATTTTGCATGGTTTTAAGGTTAAGACACATTAGTGATACAAAACTGAGGTTTAGATGCAAAACTAACAACAAAACAAAACAAAACAAAACAAAACATTCAGCCTCTCTACTCCCAGGCCTTTAAACTGCACTGATCGACTATCTTTATGGTTTCAGTTAACTTAGCTTTATGTTCTTCACTTGCTGGTGTTTTAACTGGTGTTACTTAATGAAAATTGGTTTAGAATGTAGCCATCAGTGTGTTCTGTTTGATATTGCAGATATTTCATATTGGGTTTTTTAAAACTGATTTCTGCCTTAATTTGGAAGTGGCTCCTTTTCTGGGCAGAAAGAAATATCTATTAAATGTCTATGAATGTCTATTACACTACCCCTAAACAATTGCCCAGGCCACTAATCTTCAGCTTGTGAATCATACTGCAAGCTAATGAGGATCACATGAGCAGAATCATCTACATCTGTGTACTATTTTATGTGTAAACGTCTTTGTTTCATTATATACTTGAAAAAAATCATTTTTTAAAAAAGACTTTTTCTTTACCATTTTATATTGTAAAATGCTTTATCATATAATTTTGTGATGGAAAATTTGATGTACAGAATGCACCATGCAAAATATATGCATATGAATGGCTTTGATTCCTTAGAAATAGTCATGACAGACTAAGTAGAACAAGTTTAGTGGAACGTGCCAATAAAAGCCCATTTAAGGTCAATAGTGTCATATGGATATGATTATTTGCCCATCTAAATGAGCACTGTTTACTCTCACTGGCAGTAGCTCTCCAGGTCTTTGTGCCATTAGGACAAATGCCAGCAGCTGAACCTGGGAGCTTCTTATATGCAAAGAATATATTCTACTACTGAGTTATAGTCCCTGTACATATTATGGTCTATATGTAGTGTAGACCAGTAGTTTTCAAACTTTCCATAGCTGGGGACTGGCAAAAACAGGAAAACCGCCTTGGGGACAACTGAGGCAGAAACAAAAAGCACCATACACATAATAGAGTATGCCGTGTATTAGTTTCCAAACACAATACAAATAAAAAATCTCCAAAAACACCCAGAAACCAAGCAACAAAAAAATGGCAACAAAAGAACAAATACTGAAATCAGCACAGCGTGGATCCCAGCCAACCACCACTGAGTGGCACCAGCACATCCTCCATGAACATGATGCCAACTGAAGAAGAGGTGGTGGAGCACAGCCAGCCCCCGGACCAGTCCACGGTGAGTGGGATGCAGTCCCCCCACGGACCAGCAGGAAATCTCCTGCAAACTGGTGGATGAAAACCACTGATGCAGACCAATGTGGTCTTTCTAGTCAATTTGTATGATTTATTGGTTAGTTCATACAATACCAAAGATAGAACAAAGAACATAAGCTCCACCACCCCTTCATTTTATAACCCTGATGGCTGAGTTAGGACATTTTGCAGTAAGATTGTGGGGGAATAGCACCATGCTTTTCCTTACGGCTGGAAGAACTCATATGCAAACCCACTAAACTTACATAGCCTGCACAGATCAGCTGCTTCTCTCTGCACATATTTTGTTAATCTTAGAGAAGATTTTTTTAAAGTACAGAACATACACAAGCTTTTATATATAAAGCCATCCTACACCTTCAGTATAAATGAATACCCTTAGGAATGCAAGAGTGTTTTTCTTCCCTAGGAAGCAGGACTTGTCTGCCAAGAAAATGCAATTGGCTACAGCAGTCGTCCTAATGCTTTCCAATTCCTACAGTCCACATTCACTTCAAAGCTCATCTTCAATGCCCTTTTAAAAGCTGCACTTTTTAGAATGTTGAATTCTGTAGTTTCTCTACACATATACAACACCATAGAACACCTAAAGAATTCTTATAGGAAATCCCTTATTACTTAGTCTATAAATGAATGAAGTCCAAATGGTGATTCAATCCTTTTAGAATATGACAGAAATCAGTATCTCAAACAATTTACTTCTGAGTTATCCACTAAGAGAATGGAACACAGGAATACCAGGACAAAACATCAAACATCGAGAGTGTGATTCTGTCTCCTGCTTCAGGATGTTTTAGCATTTTATATCAGATACTGTCTTGCTGGTTACAGCTAATGGCAGGTAAGAGGTGGAGTCCAATACTTTGTTTACAGAGTATCAAAAGCACCTCATTATTAGCAAGTAGCCCAGAGCAGTATCTAATTGCCCCCAATGCCCTACTGTGCTCCATTACTTCCCTTCTGCAAGTGATGCCCACTGGCTTTCAGTACTTCCAGGGACAACTGGAAATGCACACAAACATTAGTTTCTGGAATGAGACAGGTCAGTGGAGCACATCTAAGGGAGCTCCACCAACTTATCCCATCCAGAAATAAGTCTTCCTGTTGTTATCAAGTCTTCCTCTAGGCACTGTGCAATAGTGTTGGTAAGACTCATTACTTGTACAAATGCACCAGTGGGTACAACAAGCCTGGCAGCTTTATATATTGCCCAATTTGATATACTTCATTTTAGTTCACATCGCATAAAGCCTGGTAAGATGTATACTTAAAACCTACTTACCAATTCTGGAAGAGGACAAATATCTCCAGTATTAACATACAAACCCTCTACCACAATAAACTTTCGGGTTACACGAGCTTTACGGGGATTCTGAAAAGAAACAATTTTGTAGGACAACATTTGTTGAAGAACAACGTGTTTAGGTTGCCATCAAAAGCTGATAGGCAGAAAAAAGTCTTTAGTTTATACTACCAAAAACCAATTGTATCAAAGACATTTTGAATAAGATTGCTTGCGTCTTAAGCACTCGTTAGAGGAGTATATCTAGCTTGCTGAAATGCCTATTCCTGTGTTCTCCTTGCCATTCATGCAAGGTCCTTGCATAAAGCACTGCACACAGTCCTGTTGTACCACCATAACTACATCAGTACTGGTTTTGTCAACAAAGATACCGTATCTAAATGGTCCTTACTATTCTTCTGTGAAATGAAAGCTGGAATATTTTTACTGTGTATTGGTATTGGCAATAATATTCCTTCTAGCTATTTGTCTTATTTTTACTACAACTTTTTGAATTGTATCAAACCTGGGGTTTGCTTCTGTTCAGGTACCCCCTCCCCAACATTGTAGTAAATAAAGTCACAATCAGTGCAACACAGCAGCCAAAACTTAATTCAAATATTATAAAAGATGCAGTTGCATAATAGCTTAGATGAGAAATAATGAACAATGAAATCATTCAAATGTTCTGCCTACTTAAAAACACATCTTACCCAACAGTTTTTCAGAGGAACAGTACCTTTTGATCTTCAAGCTCTTGTTCTTTCAGTAGGTTCTCAAGGTCAGCCATATCATTGTGTTTAAAAAACTTTATGTTACTTCTAGATGCCTGTAGGCCTTTCTGGATAGCAAAGCAGGCTGCTTTGTCACTGGAAATAATACAGAGTTCTGTCAGTATGCTCTTAGTTGAAGCTGCCTTTTCAAAACTGATCTCCTTTTACAGTGTGTTTTAACAGCTTAACAACGATTTCAACCATCACTTTTTATTCATACAAGCAGTTCCAACTGTCTCCAGCTATGCACCCATAGAAAATAATACTGTATTTGGACGTAACAACAAACTATGGCTTAGAGTTGTTTGAACAAGCCTTGTGTTCCTGTGCCAACCCCTCTGATGTGGCCATAAGGAGACTGGGAACTTTTGTTTTGGTTTCAAAATTTGGTTAATCTTAACTATGGTCTATCAAAACAAGCCTGATTCCAAAGTCAGAGTTTGAAGTTGGCTTATTTCAGTAAATTGCTAAGTTAGCATTAATCACAGTTTGTTCAGGTTCAGATACAACCCTAAACAGCAGATTGGAAGCTCTCACTATCACTTTCAACAATCATTTCTTGTGGCTTCAGTGAAGAGGTGATGGGGGAAGCATGCCTGAACCTGATGCTTAATTATGTAGAGAGATGCAACAGTTTATTACATCTGCAAGCAGTACAGATGTAATCAATTCCTCTCCAATTCCCATGATCACTATAGAAATGTCTCTTGTTGCTGCTTTCACAGAAATTGCTAACTACATTTCTTTATGTATTAAAGTATTTATATACATTTTTGATTTAAAGAGATGACCAATGAGACTCAGAGATTTAAAATTCAAATTTAGTTAAAACCATAAAACCAGACAAAGTACAAGACTGAACAGGTAAAACATAAAGTAATACAAATAATAATTTTAAAAAGTGGCATTTCAATAGAAACTGAACAAAATAGATCCTCTTTGAAAAAGATACCCCATTCACTGGATGTCTAAAATCCAAAGAAAGAGGAAGCATAGAATTCCAAAGGAATTACTTGTTTTTAACACACTACTAATCCAACATTTAAAAAAACTCATGGTTGCTTCAACTACCCAATGTTTGTCTAGCAGACTATTGAACAAATTGTGGTTTGTTTTCACAATTCCCCTTCGTCTGTTCTCTCTGTTTCAGATGCTTCTGCAGCACTGTTGTACTGACATGCAAAGTGACTGATTCTTTTCTTTCCTGCTGCCTCTGTATGCAGGCAAAGTAACACATGAACAAACTACAGCTTTGAGTTCAAACATAACAACAACCCATGGTTTAAATAGCCCCCGAAGAGGTTATATGAGTTCTATTGCTCAGGTTGCTTGTGAATTCAGAATTCAACAACCCAGATCATGAGCTACCATTATATGGGATGCAGGCCAGTGAATAGGAAGTCTTCTTTGGCAAAAATGCCGAAAAGGTCCTATCCTGGGTAAGCTTCTTCCAACCAAGGGAAATGAAGCAATACACCTGACAATCAAAGTACAAGTGTGTTCTGAATGGGAAACGGCAGTCATTGACTTACACACCTATGCATTTCAGAACTCTAGATGTGAACACTAGCACTCTGAATTAGTCTCAACAATCAAAGATGCCATTTCATAGCCAGAATTATACATTTCCTGCAACCCACAGCAGTCAACATGCTGAGGGCTACATTCTAAGCCAATGTTCATTTCTGCCAACACTTCAAACCAAGTTCTGGAGAGGGTGTGCTTCTGTATGGATAGCACTAAGGCACAAGGACAGGACACATGGCTTTATCTATTATAAAAGAAAAATCCACAAATCACCCCAAATAAAACAAATCACTACTTGGAGGCTTGCGTTTATAGTGGTTTCGTGCCCCGATGGGGGTAGGTACCATATTAAAATAACTGATTTCCATATGCATGTGTCTCTTGGTGATTTTCTTGCTAAATGCCTGGTGATTTGACAGAACTGTGAAGGTTCTGCTGCTCACTGTCAAGTTTAACTGCCCTGCATGCCATCCATTTTTCTTCATTATGTGAAATGTGGTGGACAGTCATAAAATACAGTGCATTTTCTGTAGTGATGCCAAGACACATATGTCTTTCTGCAGCTAGCTCTCCTGGTTGATTTGATGTCTGATTTTGAAGAATGGTTCAAACGTGCCTTTTTAGGCAAATGAAAGGCATTTCACATTATATTTTCTTGAATATATTTTGATTTCATGTTAGTTTTTGTACAGAGTTTTGATTTCTTTAAACTTAATGCCTACTTTGATATTACTTTAGTGATTATGTAAGTTTTTGTATTTTTTATTTCCCACTGAGTTTTCAGTTGATGGTATTTTTAGAAAAGTAAGAGAGAAATGCTGAATAAGGATTAATTTCCATGACTCCATTTTAACCATCGTACTGCTCAGCGTACAGGCTATATATCATTCAAGAAGATGACTACAAAGAGGAAAAGACTACTTGGACTGCAACCCTTTATGCACTTACCTGGAAGTTAGTCTCACTGAACACAAAACTTCTGACAAGATTTCAGTTATTATCCGCCAGCCTAGAGCAAATATATGCAGCTCGACAGGACTGATATAGACAAGCTTTTGTATTTCATTACATGAATTCATTTTAACTACTCTTGTCAACTGTATTTCTTTGCTTGGCTATAACCTATGGGGATACTAAGTGTTTCAACAGCTGTTGGTAATTTTTACGAGACTTTATTTTGAAGCAGCAATTGATCATTAAGTGCAAGTAGTCATTTTAAAAGCATTTCATAAGTGATTAAAACTGCACTTTAACAAGCATTTAAAGATGGCATCAAGACACTGTTTTGAAAATGACGGGATCCAATAAACAACCTTAAGCAATGTTTAATTTAAATCAATTCTAAAAGATTGTATGTGATGATTTTTCTAACAGTTGGAAATCCAGTTCCACTGTTTTCCTCTGGTCGTACCAATTATGGCACTTTTACAGAGATTAATATATTGAATTTTCTAATTAGATGATAAAATATTTTAAAATCATCTGATATCTGATAATATACATTCATTAAAACAAATCACAAAATCCTAAAAGCTGGTTGATACATACAATCAGCAACTGATTTCTTTCCCACTGTAACCTGCCAGCAGCTGTTGACAACAATTTCTGAGACAGCAGTCACTATAAACAGTGCTACCACGATTATGTAAGCTGTTCCAATGTGTCACTGCACAGTCTACCTCACGTGTCCATTTCTTAACGTACTTCTGGGTGCAGAGGTATTTGGAAAAGACACATGGTGTCCGCTTAAACATGTACGAGTAAGTATAATGTTCGTATAATGTTCATAATTACACTTTCACCAATGGTGGAAATCTATCACATGAAAGCTTGACTCAAGCCCAAGACGGCACTCCCTTGTGGTCAGAGAAAAAATTCTATTGCTTAGTTTTACAGAAACTTATTTTCTTGGTGGCAATGGGTGAAATTCAGCTCTTCAAGCAAAACACTATCTGCACAGGAGTCTATGATTCCTTGATATGCGTGTGCATGAATAAAATGTATATGCACATTAACAAAACCAGGCCAAGCACTGATATAGCAGGAATGGTGACAACTGCACTGGAAATTTTTCCTGTTGCTACAGTCAGAAGAATTGTTACTGACTGCTGCCAGAAGGATTCCATGGTCTATGCTCAAGAATACAAATGCTATAAATACTGGAATATGAACTTGTCTGAAGCTCACTGCATGATTTTGGCCAGTCACTGACTCTTAGCCTACGCCATCTTGTGAGGATAAAATGGGGAGGAAGAAGACCACATATGCTGCCTTGTGCTCCTCAGAGGAAAGGCAGAATATAACAAATAAATAAGATTGCTTGTGGAATGATACAGCTAGAAATACATTATTTTGCTAAAAAGATCTCAACCTTTCAAAAAATAGGAGACATACCATAAAGGTTCTGTGAAAAACACTCTCTAGAAAGTTTTCCCTGAAGTACTGAGAAGAGGAAGATTACATACACAAAGACAATGTCTCCTCGTTTTGAATATGCAGGAATGGCACTGGCAATTGTAGCAAATCCATAGGAATATATGATGGCTTCTTCAGTCCTCATAAATTTGGCAAGTCGTCCCTCCAATTCCAAATGTACATCTGTTTGAAAAGAGCAGTTCATGCATTTATGAAGAATCACAAATGCTCAATGTCATAAACACCATGAAAAATCCACCCAAAGTATTGAAAATGTGAAATTAACAGTGCACCACATTTTTCTAGATAATATTAAAAAAGGAGAAAAGAATGATGGATAACCTTTCATTCTAGCAGGCACAGAGTAACTCACTTCAGAGTGGGATTGCATTACCTTAAAAGGACACTAATATTTTCAGTGTGATTCAGACATACTGATATACCTATCAGAAATCTTCAAGAAAGAAAGATTACTAAAACATGCCTGCTGTTAGGAAAATATGAACTGAGGGAATCAACAGTACAATATTTGAAAGGGTTGTTCAGAAGCTAAGGGAACTTTCTTAGTACAATATTAACATAGTACACTTCAAGTCCAATTCCCTAAGCTGGTCAAAGCTGGAAGAACCAACCAAGTAATCATTGTAGTTAAATCTCTTCTGCAGACGCTTACTCCTATATAACATTTCCCCCCACCATTCAGGAATTTTTTCCACATTCACAACCACCCTCCTGTCCTACCCCCAGCCCCTTAATTCCTTATTCTATGGAACTTCTCTTTCAGAAAAATACATTGTCTTAAATATTGAACACTACTTCACAAATGACCCAATAAATATTAGCTGCCAATCAAAAATGTAATTGCAATGGTGATGAGAAAAAGTGAATGAACATTACCCCTATTATGAAACACAGGGTTCAGTCCAGTAGAGCACCAATACACAAGTGCCTGCACACAGAGGGGTTTTACAGAGCTCACTATCACTCCGCCACCCCCACTCCACCTGCACCCCACTGCCAGCATGGGCTAATGGTAACAAGCTCAGTAAGCAGGACAGAAAATGGAACGACCATGCATGCCACCCAACTCTCCTTCTAAGTAAAAATGACAGGAGTGAGGCACTAAGCCGTGAGACTCTTTTACTTGTAGCCACTGTACCTCAAATGTGTTATGGCAGAGGGAGAAAAATGTCTCCCTCTCTACTTTCGCCACACCATGCATTATGTTAAACATCTCTATTTTCCCTTACTTGCCTTTTTTCCTAAGTTGAACAGCCCCAGTCATTGCAGTTACTCCTCCTAAGGGAGTCGCTCCAGGCCCTTGATCATTTTTGTTGCCTGTACTTTTTCCAACTCAACAATGTCTTCTTTCTTGTAAAGGGACCAGAACGGAACACAATATTCCAAGTGCAGTTACACCAAAGATGTGTATAAGGAAAGTCAGATTTTGGCAGTTCTATTTTCTATTCCACTTCTAATTATGCCTAGCATGAAGTTTGCCTTCTTCACATCAGCTGTGTACTGGGCTGACATTTTCACAGAGTTATCCACTAATACCCCAAGAACTCTTTCTAACTCAGTCATTGCTAGCTCAGATCCCATCAGCCATTTTAATGACCATTCTTCTGGCTTAGAGAGATCCCTTTGGAACGCCTCACAATCCCTTCCGGTTAAATCACCCTAAATACTTTAGTCATGTCATCAGCAAATATGGCTACCTCATCACTTACTCCTAGCTCCAGTTCATTTATGAATAGGTTGAAAAGCCCTGGTCCCAATGCAGAACCCTCAGAATCTGCACTGGTTATATTTCTCCACTGGGAGAAACTCCTATTTATTCCCACCCTCTGTCTTTTATTCTTTAACCAATTAGTGATCCATAAGAGTAATCTGTCCCCACCTCTCACCCCACTTTTATTCCATGACTGCTTAGTTTGGCTCAGGAGCCTTTGGTGAGGGACTTTGTCAAAAGCCTTTTAGAAGTCCGAGTAAACAATGTTACCCGGATTGGCCCTGTCTGTGTGCTTACTGACACTCTCAAAGAACTCTAATAGTTTAGTGAGACAAGACATCCCCTTGCGAAAGCCATACTGATTTTTTTCCTAGCAGAGCTCATTCCTTTGTGTGTGTACACATTCTATCTTCAGTAAGGTTTTCCAGCAGTTCATCCTGAACAGAAATCAAACTAACTGGCCTGTAATTTCCCTGATCCCTTTCTAAAAATTGGTGTTACATTGGCCATTATCCAGTTCTTTGATACAAGAGCTGATTTCAGCAACATATTTTGGTAAGAAAGTCAACAATTTCATGTTTGTATTCTTTGAGGAAGGGGTGTGGTGGACCAGCATGTAAAGATGCTGCGCTTATCAACTGGAAGGTCAGCAGTTCAAATCCCTAGTGCCATGTAATGAAGTTATCTCCTGTTACTCGTTCCAGCTTCTGCCAACCTAGCAGTTCAAAATCACACACATCTAAGTAGATAAATAGGTACCACTTTGGTGGGAAGGTAACAGTGTTCCGTGCGCGAAAGTGTCTAGTCATACCGGCCACATGACCACAGAAGTATCTTCGAGTAACACTGGCTCTTTGGCTTAGAAATGGAGATGAGCACTGCCCCAGTTGGACACAACTAGCACACTGGTGCAGGAGGAACCTTTACTTTTTTTTTCTTTGAAAACTTTAGGATGGATACCATCTGGACCACGTGACTTGTTGACTTTGTCAAAAAAAGATGAAAATTTCATTTTCTGTCACTACTACCTGCCTTAATTCCTCAGATTCTCTTCCCATAATATAACCTCAGGAACAGGTATCTGCTTTGCATCCTCTGAAGACCGATGGAAAAAATAATTCAGCTTCTCTGCAATCTCTTCCCTTAGGGCTCCTTTAATTATGTTATTGTCCATGGTCCAACTGCTCCTTTCTTTCAATATATTTAAAACATTCTTTCTTGTTGGCCTTGATCTTGTTATCGATATGTTCCTCAAACTGTTTCCTTGCTGGTGTGATTGCCTACTTGCACCCCCCTTGTACTCATTTGCGGCCCCTTCTGTTTTTGTTTTTAACTTGGGCAACACTTCCGTTTTTTGAAGGCTTTCTTTTCCCTAATAGCTTCACTGACTCCATTCATGCTGGTGATTTTCTGGACTTTAACTTTCCTCACTTGTATATGTATATTATCTGTGCTCTATTATAGTGTTTTTGAGTAATCTACAACAGTGATTTAAACTTCTTGATTCCCCTCTTCAGCTTCTTCTTTACCAGTTCCCTCATTTTGGAGAGGATTCTTCTTTTGAAGTCAAATGCAACTATATTTGCTCTCTTTAGCAGTCTCCACCTAACTGTATATTAAAACTTTTAACACCGTGGTCACTGTTCCATGTTGAATCAACAACATTTACATCCTGTACTGTGTTCTGGGCAACCCCACCTAGGACTAAATCCTTGGCTGCCTCCCGTCTGGTTGGCTCCACAACCAACTGCTCTATAGCACAACCATTTAGGACTCTGAGAAATTTAACTTCTCTGTCAATGTGTACATAGGTGAAGTCCCCCATTATTACAGTACGGTCCTTGCTGGAGGCCACCTTGATTTTCTTTCCTACCTCAAGATCACCCTGAGCATTCTGGTCTGGAGGACAACAGCATACTCCTATGGCTAGGTTAGTTTTGGAGCCAGGAGTGTTCATCCATATTGCTTCTGTAGATGAGTCTTCACACTTTAGTTTATCAAGTCTGCTGGGCTCTACACCTTACCACAGAGGGCAATACCTCTTTCGGCATGCCTTTCCTTGTCTTTCTATACAGTTTATATCTAGAGATGACTGAATCCTACTGATTTTTCACTCCACCAGGTTTCCGTAATGCCCAGTAATATCTAGCTTCTCCTTTATCACCAGGTGCTTAGCTCTCTCATTTTGGGCTTCAAGCTTCTAGCATTTGCATGGAAACACCTAATCACAGTATACCTCTCCACCCATATGCAACCTTTGTTCTGGCACTTAGACCTCTCCAATAGTTATCATGGCTTACTGTAACTTTGTTGTTAATTTCCTCCCCTCCTAAACTTGGGCAATCTGAAACTTCCTTCCCTTCATCCACTAGGGATGATGTGACCCAAACCAGATGCTTCCCAACTCCTGACAGCTTTTCCCCAGGGTTCAGATAAGGGTGCAGCAGAAGCTGAGAAGCTAGCAGACATATTTAAAATAGCAGCTGCTTGTTCAGCATAGTAGGATTTCATTCACCCATGCACAGAACCATATGACTTTAAAGTTAGATTATCTTGATGGAGATCTAGTCAAAACAGTGTTACGGTCAGAGACAAAATTTCACCATAATGCTATCTTCCAAAGGGAAGGGGAAGGGGAAAAAAGAGAAAGAAAAAGGGAAAAGGAAAGAGAAAAAAGAAGAATAGCTTTATTACCATCCAGTGGTTAAGAAAAAAGAGAAGGCACAGAAGAAATACTTTTTATATAGCAAGCTATTAAACCTCAAGTAAAAACTGCCACTGATAATAGTTTCCCTTCTGAAACACAAGCAGTCTTTAATAGCCCCATGGAAACCATTTTTAATCTTCTGGGTAAAAATTCCAGACGGTCTATCACTTCCAAAAAGTCAGGCTGCCTATTGGGAAGATAAAGTGAATGTTTCAGTTCACTCTGTTGCCATCGATATAGCACTCTGTGGTGATGGAAGAGGAATGCGAAACACCATCATCACAACCCTGTGATTGAACACAGACGTGGAGGTTTCATAGCAGGATTTGTATTACAAAAATCCTTTGCTTCAAACCACTTGATTACTACACAGATAAAGCATGTTGGCAGTATCTGTGTTACCTTGTTCACAACCAAGTGTTTCATCCAGAAATCAGACTGCCCTCTTGTGGCTCTTTGAAAGAAACAGCTCAATCTTGGCTTGAAGTGAAGTATTTGAATCTTCACTTTACCTCAGCCAGTTCTTCCTACATGACATTTTCACAGCCACATAAACAAATGAGAGGGTGCTGGGGATGAATCCTCAGTACCATGCTTAGAACAAGAGTAAGACAGTGCTCAGTAAGGATACAGCATATCAACATCAAATTCTACAACCAAATTACATTCTGGAAGCAAATCTAAACTGAATTTACTGTACAACCTTTCAGTTCACCCACTTACCCTCAGCTTCATCTCCCTCTGATCTCTCTTCTTTCACCTGTGTCACTGTTAAGATTATGAGCTCTTTGGGTCAGGGTCAGTCTTCCTGCTGGTCTAACAGCCCACACTTGACAGGCTGTATTTTCCCACTGCTCCCTTGACTGAGCAGTGGGAAAAGGGGGCATCCCTTGCTGCTCAGCAAGAAAATGTATGTAGGACTACACAGAAAGATCAACTTTACCCGCAGGCAACACTTCAAATCAGGTGAGCAATAGGAGATAGATGAAAATGAACTTCATGAAAATTGCTTTTTCCTCTCCCAACTATTAAGGATAGGATTGCAGGAAGGGAAGGGTTAAGCCTTCTCCCTCTGTGTTGCTCAACAGGGAAAAAGAAGACTAGAGCCTCACTCTTTGACTTCATTGCTTGGATGGGTGGATGGGGATGACAGTATCTGACATATGGATGAACGGGGATAAGGACTGTGTGACATACATCCTATTCCATCTTTCTGCATCCCCATCCATCCGTCCATCCCATCCACATCCACCTATATGTGACTGGATGGCTATAGATAAGAGGTTAATCCCCAGCACTCCATTCATTCCTTTCCTCTCCTCCAATATTCTTGAGATAGAAACAGTATGAGGTGCAAAGAACTTGCGAAAAATTGTGTGATGGCTCAGGCCACACACACTGCCAGCGTATGAACCACAATACATTATGCAGTCTCTACAGGTGGAAAAGAGCAGCCTCCTCCTGCTCTCCAGTGCCATGCACAGGGAGGGTACTGCACCCTGCCTGCATACCAATTCATCTAAATTAGGAATGCATCAGCAGGGCTGCCCATTCTTTCACATAAATTAACATTTCTAACACTGTACTAGAAGACATGCTATACTTACCAAAGGTTCCATAAAACCCTCTAGGGCCACAAGAACCAACACCATATTTTGCCAACGATACCTTAGCTGCATTCTTTAAAGAAACATAACAGAAGAAGTCATGTTAAGTGAAATTCTAAGTAGAAATGAGATCATTACTATACTGTTCAGCACTGTTGTATTGATGTTTCTATATTCTACAGTGATATCTTGGCTCACGAACTTAATCCGTTCCAGGATTCTGGTTGTGAGCCAAGTCATTTCCACATAAGGTTCAATGTAAATAAGCTTAATCTGTTCTGTAACCATTTTTTAAATCAGAAAAATGTGATTTTTTTGCAAAGTGACAACAACAAAGATCGCGGTCATCTCCCCCCACCCCACCCCAAGCGTGGCCATCTCCCTGCCACCCCCAGCATGACTGAGATCACACCCATCATCCCTGCAGGTGCCCATCATCCCTGCAGGCGCCCGTCCTCCCGGCGCGCTGCGGGGTGGAGGGGAAAGACGGGCGTGATCGCGGGCGCACTGGGGGAGGGAGAGATGGGTGCAAACGGTGCGCTGGGGTGGGGAGATGGCCTCGATCGCAGTTCCATTCATGCAGGGAAGGTGTGCCTGATCAGAGGCGCGCTCCTGCAGGAAAGACAGGCAGAATCTCAGCCATCTCCCCGCGGCTCTGCTTTGCTGCTCCTGTCTTTCCTGCAGCCGCGCGCCTCTGATCACGGACGCCTTCCCGGCACAAAAGCAACTGCAATCTGTGATCAGAGGCATGCGGCTGCACGGATGACAAGCGGATTCGCGGCTCTGCTTTGCTGCACCCGTCTTCAGTGCAGCCGCACGCCTCTGACCACGGACGCCTTCCCTGCACGAATGGAACTGCGATCGGGGCCATCTCCCCACGGGGGGGTGGGGGGTGGCTGCGATCTTGGTCGCCACCCAAAGCGGTGTTCGTGATCCAAGTAAAAATTTTTCAGTAATTTTTGTTCATGACCCGATTTGTTAGTGAGCCAAGGCGTTCGTGAGCCGAGGTTCCACTGTACTTAGTACATATTAACAGTGTAGCACAATGGTTAGACTGAGACTCAAAAGATCTAGTCCCCACTTGGCCATGAAACTCACAGGATGGCTAGTCACTGCCTATTAGTCACTGCCTGTTAGTCTAACCTGCCTCACAGGGTTGTGATGATAAAAATGAGGAGGAGAATCAAAATTAGATAAGCTGTCTTGGGATCCTTGAAGGAAAAAAGGCAAGATATAAATATAATGAATAAAACCCAACACAGCTTTCCCATAAGCAAGGATCCTGAGAACATTCTGAAGACTCTGGATGCAGCTTGCATCTGAGAACCTAAGGAGGTCTGGGTTCAGTACTTAGAAGACTGATTGCCTGGGAAATGCATACACACTGCTATAACTGCACTTTAAACAGAAGTAATTTGCCACATGTCTCCTAGTTCGGGATACAACAGCACTATGATTTATGGCAATCTACTTTCAAAAATCCTTTGTAAGAGTTCAGCCCAGAACTCTAGCAACAGGACTTTGAACTTACTGACTAGGCTGGAAGACACAGAGAAAGAAGAGGTTCCATCCAATTTGGCTATGATTCTAGCCCACTACCAACATGGAGCCACTGTGCCTGAAAGGACTGAGCCCGCATCTTTCAAAGCACATAAACTGTTTCTCATGCCTATTAACCCAAATAAGCTCCTCTAGATATATGGAATTTAACAGAAGATATTAGCCTGAAGGAACTGCTGTCTTGCCAAAAAAAAAAAAAGCTTCCACTCCCAATTTAAAGTAAATATAACACACAACGGTAGCATACAAAGAAGAGCTGTGAACTATGAGCATTTCTGGCTTAATAAAAAAAGGTTACGTCTGAACCAATCTTTTGACACAATAGGTCCATTTCCACAGCTATGGAGACTTACCTTAAGCCTGTCATTATCCAAAAGCCCAAGGAAGTTAAATGATGCGAAGTTTATGCATTCCTTGCCATTCACGGTAATTTTATGTGTTGGAGGCCTTAAAAATGAGAACACAACATTGTTTTGCTTAATAATAGTCATGATATTTCATATGTTTCTGTGAGGAGTGCTCTGTTCAATTTTGTATAGCCTTGGAGTCACACATGTACATAAAACAATAAAAGAAATCGAAAATCTGGTTAACTAACTGCAGCTGGCCTAAGTAAACCTAATTTTCAATTAAAGGGGGTCCTGATGAATACGTGCCTGATTCTATACAGAGCCTTTGATTTATATTTTATTAAAATCCCTATTTCAACAGGTTGGTAGGAGGACTGCTGAGTTAATTACACATACATCTTGTTGTGGAAAGAAATTGCATAGCAGGTATTACCCGAGACGCCAGTAGATGGATGGTCTCCAAAAGCTTTAAATAAATAAGTATTAGAAAACCAAATATAACTTTTTAGTAGAGATTGGATGATTCTACTTGTAGACCATTTCTTAGGTTGTCTTTTCTTACTTGACCAGGTGTGGAAGATAGTGCCGCAGTTGGGAATGAAAGAGGCAGTTTCCCTGAGGCACTTTCCACAGCTAGGGTGGCATCAACTCTTTTTATTTATTTATTTAGGATTTTTCTAGTCCGTCCAATCACTTCTGTCTCTGAACATCTTCAGAGGAGAACTATGAGGACTGGGAAACAAGGACATAGAGATGGTGGGGGAAAGCGAGTGTATCTCAAGGTTGCTGTCTCCAGGTGTTCAAGCAGACCTTGGGAACCAACAGGGTTTGGAAGTGTAGGAAGTGGACATGGGAGCGGTGCAAGAGGAGCCTGGTCCAATTCCCTGACCCCATGACATGGCATCAGGACATTAGGGCTACCCAACTAGAGGGCCTGTGTAGATCTAGGAAGTTAGGCCTTCCCTAGAGAGGCAGACCAGAGAGGAGGAGACCAGGGTTACTGAAAAGGAGGGTTCTCAGAAAAAGTTTCAAGTTTGGATTCAATGAACCAGTCTGCTCAGAGTCATGCACACTCAGAGGCTCTTCCTCCGCTGGTCATTAATTTGCTGGCTATATATTGGAAATAGAGTGGGTTTTTGACAAAGAACTGTGTGTTGTTTGAAAGGAAAAGAGGGAGCCCAGCTCCCAACAGCTGTAAATAGTAAAGATGCTATATAAAGGATGACCTATCCAATGTTAAAAGGTCAATGGAATTATAGCTGAAGAACTATGGATTAGTCCTAGCTTTTAAAATTTGTGCTGTAGTATACTGTCCCCCACAAGCAGTTTTCCATCTAATTACCCAACTATGGA